ATGATGAGATGTTGAGCTTTGTGGAGACACTTTGATTTTGCATATCCGCACAATTATTTCAGCCCAAAATATATAAATAAAATGGTGTTTTTTATTGCATTTTTCTAGCACACTCTCCATAAAACTGTGATTTCTAGGTCATAACTAGGGCATATTTGCTGCCCGAATTCACTGGAATCTCATAGAATAAAAGATTAGTAAAAAAGAGGTCAAAATTAATAACTGCGGTGCACATTAATGCTTCTTCTGTTTCATCTGTCCTCACAATGGTACAGTAGTATGAAATGAGCAGTGTGAAAGGATTTAAGAAGTCATAGCAGCTGTACTATTGGACTTTTCAGATATCAGCCCACCATTGGGGCAGACTGGAAAGGATGAGGTGAACTAGAATGCATTGATATGTGGCGGATAGCTTGACGAACCTTCGATACCATGGCTTGCCATATATCCTCGTTTACATACCAAGACTGATCAAAAGCTATCGCTAGAGGCAGATTGGCATATCAGATCAGCCTCAAACCCAGTTTATGTCCCGCATGCAGATACAGTTGTGCACACACGTGCACACACACACACACGCACACATAGACACAGTCTGTCAGGATAAGTGATGGTGTCTATGGGAGGGATTGATAGTTTACACAAGCGTTGTGTCAAAATGTTCTGATTAACATCTCATCGCCTGGCCAGGCAACCCGAGTAGGCTGTGACCCCGAGGCGCCGGAAGCGGTGAGTGAAGAGCTCAACACTTCGGAGGGGTCAACAGAGCTGGGCACCGGAAGACCAGTAGCGACTAGCTCACGAGACCATCGAGGCTGAGATGCAGCCTCTTCGGGGCTTTCGAGGCAGGGGCCAAGAGGCTGTGTCAGTGAAACGGGTCCAGGAGCCGGGAACGTGGAACTGGACCCATTCGACTGCCAGGCGCCCTCCATTCGCCAGACAGAGAAGGCATAACTAAGGCCAGCCCGACTGGAGGAAGAGGCGAGCGAGGAGGAGGAGGAAGAGGAGGAGGAAAAGGAGGAGGAAGAGGAGGAGGAGGTAGAGGAGGAGGAGGAGGAGGAG